TGGAAATATACTTGATTTCCTGAATCACTTTGTAAGAGAAGCTTCCTCAGTGGGGCACTGGGCTTTGCCCTGCAGACGGTGCAGGAGGCTTAAGCGGGCTCAATGACTGTCTAGATACTTCTGATTCTTTGATTTACTTCCTTCACCCTTTGGAAAAAGTAAGAGGGATTCCCCATCCCTCTTTCAACAATGAGGACCTCTCAGATGGGTCCCAGAGGCTCCAATTCAACCCCTCTCCTTTTTCAGCTTTCTGAAATGTCTGATGACATTGGAAAACATCTTCCTCTCTGTTGCAATCTGGTGCCTTGAACCTGGGACCTCTCCATTCAGCTCTTAGCCACTGGTGAACTGCCAGGCAGCAGGAGGATGAGCTGGGCGCAGGGGAGTGTAAGTGGGGGGTGAGCATACATCCAGAGTCAGTACCACTATCAGGCCAAGTGTCTGCCGTCAGAGGCACACCTCACTCTCTAGAAGATTCAGCCAACTGGATAACACCATCATGACCTGAGTGTGTGGGGGAGAAGGAGGATCTGTTTATACTTTGGAGGTTGACAGTTTAGTCCACTGCCCAGGATGTAATAGATGGTCCCTTAATGATGTGTTTGACGCCACTGTGACATGAAAGTACACCCACACCACCACTCTGTCTTCCAATTTCAGTACAGTGTTCAATAAACTTTATGAGATAGCTGATACCTTGTTATGAAACAGTCTTTCTCTTAGATGATTCTGCCCCATGGTAGGCTGATAGAAGCATCCCATCCCGAAGCTGAGTGTGAGCTAGGTTAGGAACATGGTATACATTATCTATGTAGGATATTCTTTATGAGAAATTTGTTAAATATGCTTCTTAGAGCCTGTCTCTTTTTTTTCATTGAAAAAATGTGGGCAGAAGGTTTGGAATAGATTGGATTTGCAATTCAAGATGGCAGACTGAGCATATGTTCATCTCTCTTCGGCTCCAGCCCCCCATTTTGATGAAAATAATGATTAAGTATGATAAAAAAAAGATATCAGAAACAATTAAAAAGGGGGAGACACTATGAATGGATGAAACAACTCAGTACTTTCTGTGGACTGGACAAGGGCTGGAAAGTTTTGATGGGTGGGATAGACTGGGAGGGGCAGGCTCCCTGGTGCCTTCAAGGGGCTTTCAGTGGTGGGGAACGTGAGGCCTGCACTGCCCAGAGGCAGCAGATATAGAATCTGCAGGTGTGTTATGAGGCAGGAAACTCAGTTCTGGGGGTGAGGGCCAGCAGAGAACAGCCCTTTACCCAGGAAAAACCCAGCTACCCTTTGCTTGTGGATCAAGGACACTATCAGTTGGTGTGTGTGGAGGGGGAGGGGGTGTTTCCAGGAGTCAAGTCCTGTTCCTATGACTTCCACTTTGCTTGCTACAAAGTGGAATGGTCTAATAATAATAAAGGTACGGACAGAACTGTGAAAAGTTGGGAGGAACAGGGAGAAGGGCACGTCTAAGTGAGCAGACTCCCCGTCCATGAAGGCGCATAGTCTACAATGACAGAGCAAGAGGGTCTATACTGAACATGGAGGGCTGAGACACCCTCTGGACGCATGTCAGACTGCCTGGCAGTGTCAGAGCCTGCCAGAGTTTCTATGCTCTGATGTCAGGACCTAATAGCTCCAATGTCTAGGATAGGAAAAAACACGTGTCATGAAAATGATAATGAAGACAAAGCTTATCTAGGGTGTCCTTTGACCCTTCCCCTCTTATCCTTAGTTGTCAGGGTTCCCTACTCACCCCGAGCGCTTGCCGCTACCATTGTCCTCCACACATCACTGAAACTTGCCTTGGGCCTGGGATCCTTCACTCTACTGTCATGAGCTTCTTCTCAGCCTTTCTTAGGTCACCGGTCTTAATGACCAATCCTGTTTCTCTGCCTCTCTCTTCTTCACTCTCCCCACCATAGCCTCCGTAACTGCTAGGACCGAGGAACAGGGCTGGAGGAATGGGGCTGTGAGCATGGCTTTCATATTTGAACATCTGAGAGCCTCCTTCACATGCAACCCTGCAAGAAAGTTCCCCAGCAAGGACGTGTTTGCAAGATGTACCTACAAGAGTACTGTGTTAAGGATACATACACCACACACACACACACACACACACACACACACACACACACACACACCCTGTAAACCTTGGTGTTTGCATTGGTATAGACACATAAATCTAAATATTTACATGAGTTTTGAACCTTTCAGCATAGGCCCCTTGAATAAACAAACATTCCCTCAACATTGCCAATGCTCATAGTTTAAAACAAAAACAAAACCAGAAAGCCGTTTGTAGAATGTCCTTCAAAGTATCAGAATATTATTTTGAAACCCTTCATGCTTGTGACTTTGTCTTCAAAGGAATTTTCCTTTAGTCAACTTTATTGAGGCCTAGTTTGCCTACAATAAATGCACAGACCTTAAATATAAACTCTACCTGTATAAATATCACTGCCATAAAAATGTAGATGATTTCAACCACATCAGAAAGCCCCTGTGTACACAACCACAAATCTTTAACTTTTGTAGTTTGGGTTTGGAATACTCAAGTGCCATTCTGAGGAGGCCAGGGGACAGCAGGCCTGGGCTTGTCAATTATAGCCACATCAAAGGGGAATTTTATAAATGATCAAAACTGGTCATTTCAATGCATGTGCAATGCCCTGAATGTTACACACCTCTGATGGGGTTTCCCTGTGAAGCCCTGACTGTCCTGGAACTCGCTCTGTAGACTAGGCTGGCCTCGACCTCCTGAGTGCTGGGATTAAAGGTGTGTGCCACCACCACTGGGCTCCTGAGTGGCTCTCTGCTGGCTAAATAGTCCAGACTATAGGTTATTGCAGTGTTTTTGAAGACGCGATGCTCACTTGACAGTTCTGAACCAGACATTGCTTTAAGCACTGGGGATTATTTGTTCTGAAAAATCTCCTGTCATCTCTTCTCCTGAAAGTCTATAACTTGTTGGAGAAATATCAACAAACAAGAAATCATATGTGCTGTATAATTCGTGGAATCAAGAAATGCCTAGAGAAGGAACGAAGGTAGAACACGGGGCTCGAAAGCGGTTGATAGTAGTAATCCTTGGAATACGGTCTTTGTTTACTTTTCTTTATCTCTCTGCGAGGTATTCTGGAGAGGTCTATTGTCTGTTAAATGGGATGGAGTGGAGCACCTAGCTGTTTATAGGTAAAGGAGGGTGGGTCAGGGTTCTGGAAAGTTCAGTGGGGTAAAGAACTTACCTCGAAAGCAGAAGGGCCAGAGTTCAGTCTCCAGCACCCAAGTGAAAAGCCACATGTGGTGGTGGTGTGTGTGTGTATGTAAGCCCAGTGCTGGGGAGGCAGACTAGGAGCTCCCTGGTCAGCAAGCCTAGCCTAACCTACCAGTCCCGGTGAGAGACCCTGCCTCAAAAAAATCAAGGCGGATGGTTCCTGAGGAACAACGCTTGGGGGTTGACTTCAAACCAGTTGTACACACACACAGAGAGAGAGAGAGAGAGAGAGAGAGAGAGAGAGAGAGAGAGAGGAGGGAAATTGACTTAAAGCTGAGCAGGTATTTAATGAAGGACTTCTCAGAGCCTTGGCCATGCTAATGTAATTGCAGGTTTTCATGGGGGAATGTTCTAGTATGCCCCAATTTCTAGGGAATTCCACTGGATTTGGAGCATGTGGGAAAGGAGCCACCTCTGTAGCAGCCTGGGTATATAGCACAATTCAGCTCCCACAACTCATGGTACAGAGCTGAAAGCCATAGACAAGTTCATTTCTAGAGGTGAGGGGAGAGTGAGTTAGGGCAGCTTGTGGGCACAGCATGGTGCCAAGAGTCCTAACCACACCCCTTAGGGAATCCTTTCAGTAGGGTATTGCACTTTCTGGGTGCTGTTAAAAGAACTGCGGCTCAGGCAGCCACAGGTTTCTTACAGAGCCGGGATCTGAACCTAGTCCCATAAGGCTCCACAGCCCAACCCTTTGAAAACCAGGATGTCTTGAGTGAAGTAGTAGAAGGTTGTAACCCAGCTAGCGTGCCCTCCCTACTCTACTGTCAATCTATGCATCCCCTCAAACCACACCCTTCTCAAGGGATGACTATCACTTTTACACTGGAGGGTTGTCATTTCTCCCTCTCCTGCTGGCTATGAATGGGTACTTGGAAAGTCTGAGCAGACAAGGACATGGTCTCCTGGTTCTGTCCTCATGAAATGGTATCAGAGTCAGGTGCCTGTGACCCTGTTGTGGCACTGACCAGCAAGCTCGGTCAAAGCATCCCTCTGTGGCTTTCTCTCTTCCTGGCATTTCCTCCTGTGGTTAGAGCCATACCTCCCATCTCTATCCATCTGAGGAATCCTCTGGACTATGACTCAGACCTGTATCAGCACCTCTGTCAGAGCGTCGGCGAGGCGTGAAGATCGACTGGGGCTACAGTGGCCAACACTGGTGTGAGCGTGGTGATGAAGGGACAGGGACATGGAACGGCTTAGCCCAGGGGAGAAGATGTGGAATTCCAGTACTTACTGGAAACAGCAAAGGCGTCTTTCAGGAAGGGCTTTGAGACAGTTTCTCTCCCACCATCCCCATCTTCCTCTCAGGAGACGGCAGAGGAAGTTGGTAGCGGATTACCCACTCCTGCTAATTCATGACTAGTGGAAATGAAGAGAGATGGGTCTTTCTGAATGCCATGCTCGGAAACTAAAGGACACCAGTTCTGAACCTGCTGCCCGCCCTTCCTTCCCATGCCATGGTTCTTGTAGGCCACTTTTTGTCTATGGCCTTTTCTCCCTTTTGGATTCTGACATTTCTGCCGTTTCAAGTCAGTGACAATCCAGCTTCAGTGGGAGTCTCTGACCTGGTCCCTCCTCACATGTCCACTTCCCTGGCTTGACCTTAAGAGAGGAGACAGTCCCAACTGCGCCCAGAGGCCCCGGATGGATGGCTGGGCAGGCACCCGGGCCGCTGTGCAGAGACCTCACAGGGCTGTCGTCTGTTCCCCAGGTGTTCGTGCTGTGCCATGGCCTCCTCCAGCTCTGCCAGCTGCTCTACAGCGGCTACTTCAAGAGCAGCCTCACCACGATTGAGAAGCGCTTTGGCCTCTCCAGCTCTTCCTCAGGTCTCATTTCCAGCTTGAACGAGGTGAGTGAGAAGCTTTTTATTAAAAATAAAATTAATTAGATTTACTTATTTTATGTGTGAGTATTTTGTCTGCATGTCTGTAAATGTACCGTATGAATGTTTGGTGCCCAGGGAGGTCAGGAGAAGGCATTGGATCCCCTGGACTTAGAGTTATGGATGCTTGTGAACCACTATGGAGATGCTGGGAATTAGACGTAAATCTACTACAAGAGCAACAAGTGCTCTTAAGTGCCGAGCCGTCTGTCTCCTCAGCCCTGAGTGGGAGGCTCTAGACCGCCCTTCATTTGTATACTATCTTAACCACAGGGTCTGAGAGGAACGTCACAGGGGACTGGGTTTACTGCCCAGTGAAGAATACAACCCTTAAATTTGGCCTTTGACTTGATATTGTTCACACACACAACAGACAGCAAGGAAACAAATCTCTGACATTTATGTCACTGTAGCTGGCCCCGAACCTTGTAGGTATCACAAGTCACCCACAGTTCTTGGTGAGTTCAGATACGGCCTCTGGATCCTTCTCACACCTTGCTCTAGGCTCCTCTACTAAACAAATGAGATCTGACATATATGGTAGACCCTCTCCTACGGCAGTCAATAGAATCCAAAACCATGAGCTCCTATCCCTAAACTCTATCTGCATCATTGAATGCTTGAAATAAAACTGTGGTCCAGGAACAACTGGAATTTGTGTGCTGTTGGTGGTGAGTGTGTGTGTGTGTGTCCAGAGTTGTGTCAAGAGGGTCCAGCCTGGTCTGGTGCAAGGGTGGATGAGGCCATCTGAGTGTGTAGTGAGAGCTCAAACCTTCAGACTGAAGCTCCAGTTTCAAAGCCTTCCTGGGCCCAGGTGAGATGAAAGGACACAGACTGGCTATGATGGCTCAAGGGCAGGTGGAGGGGCTTGAACAGGGAAGTCATGACTGCCTTGGCCTTGGGAAACAACTGCTTCTATCATCTACTGTGACCTGACACGAGTGGGGAACAGACAAGGCGGGTTGGATCCCTAAGACCCCACTCTGAATATCCATCTCCATTCCCCTAAGCCTTTGGCTTTGAGACACGGAAGGACAGAGTATGTTATTAATGGGTGTTATGTCAGATTTTAAATTATCAACACCACCAAGTAGATGGAGCTGTTCTAGGGGCACTGTGAGGGTGGTGGGTGAGGCCTGAATCCTCTCCTCCCTGGCTAGAACATCTACAGCTTTGAGGTGTGCCTTAAATGGGAAAGGAATGGAGAATTCTTTCAAAAGCATCCTCTGATGAGGATGCTTTCATCCTCTTGAGAGCAATACCCAGTGCCCAAGCAGGCCCAGGGACCCACAAAGAAACCAACCCTGGCTTCTGCAGATGAGTGGGGGCCCAGGTACCCGAACATTCCTTCCTGGGTTTGTTCTGGAGCCCTCCACCACCTCTCACGCATACCCTTTGTGTAAGCTAGTAGAACTGAAATGTCCTGACATTTCAGTTCGTTTATTAAAAAAACAATAGAGAAGCAAAAAGAGGGGAAAAAATGAAACCCAAGAAGCTCAAGAATAAGCTTTCCCATCGTAGAATGTTCTAGAAACTTCAGGCTGGAGGGCTCCCTGCTGAAGCCAGGCTGCCTCCACATTCACCTCACAGAGCTTCACACCCTCTTTTATGTGCCACAGCCTCTGTCTGTTGGTCACGCTTCTTGATGCATGTTACTGAGCACCAGCTGTGTGCCAGATATTGCCCTAGATGCTGGGAGGCAGAAAGGAACAGATGGATGTAAAGCTAAGACAAAGGTTTAGAAAGAAAGTTCTTATAGATGGGTTCCATGAGAAGGTGGTCATGGGAGAGGAAATGCATTCAGGGTCCCAGTGGTGGACACAGGACACACCTTCTAAGGACCATCGAGAGCACACTAGACAGGACTTGGAAGGGTACGCACGGTCCTTGTCCTTCATTTTGAGGAATTTAGGATGGGGGTGGGGTGGATTAGACCCAGAGTTGTTGAGGCAGAAGCCAGCTCCTCCAGAAGATTGCTCTAGTACAGGGTAGATGACCTAAAGTCGGGCTCCCCCCGCCCGGTTCAGTCTGTCTCCTGACTTCACGGATGCAGACATGACAGCTTTGCTGTCAAGTTCTAGCTTGCTCTCTGTTGCTATCATAAAGACCATGACCAAAGGAACTTGGGGATGAAAGGGTTTATCGCTCTTCCCCTTCCACACCAGGCCACTGTGGAGGGGAGCCAGCACGGGAACTGAAGCAGCACATAGACCACGCAGGAAAACGTCCCAGCTTCCCCCGTCAGCTTTCTTCGCTGGCTTTGTTAGTGCAACCCTGGACCACCTGCCAGGGACGGCATCACCTGCAATGGACCAGGCCTTCCCACATTAATCATTAATCAAGAAAATGTCCCCACAGACAAGAAAATGTCTCCACAGACCTGCCTACAGGCCAGCTGATGGAGTTATTTTCTTCACTGAGGTTTCCTCTTCTCAGATGACTCTAGTTTGTGTTAAAGTGAGAGCAGTTGCAGGGGCATGGGGTCATGATGTTTCTTGGTTGTTATTCTGACTTTCAGTCCAGAGTCCCTGAGGATGTTAGCCTGGACTTCCCTAAGGTTAAGAGTTTAATTAAGAAACATATGCTACTCCAGGAACCTACCAGGATTAGAGGCTTCCTTGAATTTTGCCCCCAAAGATTCTTCTAGAAGGGTTAGGGAGAGAGCTTGGTTGGTAAAGTACTTCTTGTGCAAACATAAAGACCTGAGTTCCATCCCCAGAACCTACATTTAAAAATCCAGGTGTAGTAGTAGCAAGTGCCTATAATCCTAGCATTAGGGAGGTAGCAACAAGAGGATCCCTGGAGTCAATCACCCTAGATATTTGGCAAGCTTCAGGTCAGTAAGAAACTCTGAATCAAAAGAAAAAAAAAGGAGGTTACTAGTATGAACATTTGCACAGTGAGCACACCCTCTTGCAGACACATACACACACTCACAATTTGCATATAAAATTATCAGTATTTGGGTTAGTCTGTCACGTCTTCAGATAATTCCACTGGGTTGGTCCCAAAAGCAGAGGCTGAAGGAAAACCGGTGCTGTGAGAATACAGCCTAAACAAGAATATCTGGGCAAGGCTGGCGTGGCTTTGCCAGGGATCCCATTAATGCAGGACAGACCCTTCCCTGTCTACTCTCCCTAGATGAAGTATGGTTGGTCTCTTCTGGGCCGGGGAAGGGCAGGACCAACCTGGCTCTCACTTGATCCCCTGTCCCCTCTACAGATCAGCAATGCCGTCCTCATCATCTTCGTCAGCTACTTTGGCAGTCGGGTGAACCGCCCTCGGATGATCGGCATAGGGGGTCTCCTCCTGGCGGCAGGTGCCTTTGTCCTCACCCTCCCACACTTCCTGTCGGAGCCCTATCAGTACACCTCGATCACTGTGGGTGAGTGGTCCCAACTCCTGCCTTGAGGAGATGTGGCAGGATGAGCGTGGTACAGAGTTGATGGGGGTGCCCCTGCAGTTGGGGTTTCCACTCCTTGCCCACTAGAAACCGCCTTTGGCTTTAGTAGTTCCATTTCTCTCCAGACCACATCTGAAATGTGGGACCTATTGAAATACACAGAAGTATGAAGTACCTGGTTGCCGGCTTGTTGAGGATGAAGAGGCCCTGTGTTTGCTGGTCTTTCCCCATGACTTCTTGTGCTTCAGGTTAGGGTCAATCCAAACACTACCTGCCTGGAACCAGAGCTCCCAAAGGCCTGGAGGAAAGAGGACCAAAGTGTGGAACACTGATGTCTGGGGGTTTTCTGGATGCTTGGTGACGGTTACACTCATCAATTGTATTTTAAATTACATAGCATTTGTATGGTACACTCATTGGTGCCCAGACACTAGTGGGGTGTAGAGAAAAGTCACTGGATGAGGACATACGTAACTTTTCCAGGAGAAACATGAACAAATGTCTGTTCACTGCACATGACAATCCAAAGAGATGATCCTACTCAACTCTAGCTTGGTGAACTAATAAGTTTATTCTGGTTGCTTACAGGAGCATGGGGAAGGGGTTATAGGAGCACAGGTAAGGGATTACAGGAGCGTGGGGAAGGGATTACAGGAGCGTGGGGAAGGGATTACAGGAGCGTGGGGAAGGTATTGCAGGATCATGGGGAAGGTATTGCAGGATCATGGGGAAGGGATTGCAGGATCATGGGGAAGGGATTGCAGGATTATGGGGAAGGGATTACAGGATCATGGGAAAGGGATTCCAGGATCATGGGGAAGGGAATGCAGGATCATGGGGAAGGGATTTCAGGAACATGGAGAAGAGATTACAGGAGCGTAGGGAAGGGATTGCAGGAACATGGGTATCAAAGGCAGCCACATCACCAAAAGGCACCCTCCATTGTAAGTGAAGACTCACAAAAACTGTATCCTTAGAGCATCCTGCCCTTAGAGCCTCCTGGACAATTTGTAGCCAACTCTGCCAGAGACTCCTCTACCCCAGCAACTGATTCTTGCTTTGCATGACCTTGGGGAAAGCTTTGTAACTTTAGGGACTTCTGAGTGTTACAAGTTTCCATAGCTTCCTTAGTTTTAAGAGCTCCCCCTTCCTCAACCTTCCTAATGCTGCTGTTCCTTAATACAGTTCCTCATGTTGTGGTGACCCCCAACCATATGATTATTTTTGTTGCTGCTACTTCAGAACTGCATTTTTGCTACTGTTATTAATCATAATGTAAACACCTGATATGCAGATGGCTTTAGGCGACCCCTATGAAAGGGTAGCGACTCCCTATAAAAGGGTCATTCTACTCTTAAAGGGGTTGATACCCACAGGTTGAGAACCACTGTTCTAACCTGAAGGGAATGTTTCAGTTGGGAGGAAATGGCTGCATAGTAGGTCTTGACGCTTGGAGGTATTCAGATATTTTTCTCATAGTCCAAGTAGCTAAGGAGACAGAGAGAGGAAAAAAAAAAAGGCCTGTCTCCTGACCCTCATCAAGTAAGGGCTCTTTCTGTGATCCAAACGTCTGCTTTTTATTGGGATGCCTTGTGACAGAATGAAATAGACAAAGAATTTATGTGGTTAAACATGGTATTAACTAGTACTGAAGGATCTAGGGAAAGAAAACCTTTCCTTACATTTTATTTTTAGAATTATTTTAATTAGCGTATATTAATTATACTTGATAATAGGTTTCACTGTGACATTTCCATACATGTACATGATGTATTTTGATCATATTCTCTCTCATTCTCCCACGCCTGCTAATCCTTTTCATTTCTGAACTAGCCCCCACTCCTGTTTGTGTGTGTGTGTGTGTGTGTGTGTGTGCCATTGAGTTTCATCAGGGTTCCTTTTAGGAGGGCAAATGAGGGCTTATTTATAAGAGCATGGGCGCCTTACCATTGGCTTCACCCCTGAAGTAAATGTTCCTCTCTTCCATCAACCCATTAACTAATTATAAATTGTTATTGTTGTAAATTGCTGAGTTTGCGATTTCATACAAATTCCAGATAGCTCTTTGTTGGATGTGAGCTCTTCAAACATTTCCTCCCAGTCTCTAGCTCATCATGTGTATTCTTTTAACAGAATATATGTCACTTCCAGAACAAAAGGAAGTTTTAATTTTGATGAAATCCAATTTTCCCTTATTTTTCCCCCCTATGGCTCATTTCTCTGGTACTATACTCAAGACCTCTCCCCAACCCCAGGAGAGGGTCATTTTCTATGCTCTTTCTCAGGGTGTTTTCATTTTTTGCATTTACATGTAGATTTATGAACTGTTTGAATTAACTGTTTATCAGCACTCAAATTTTTTCTTTTATGTATGAATGTGATTTTTCCCCCAGCACAATTTGTTACAAAAACTGTCTTTTCACCACACCACAATTTGTACCATTATAACAGATAAATTGTCTTGGGGGGCTACGACTACAGTTCAATGGTAGAGAGTTTGCTCCAAACCCCGAGTTCTATCATCCACACTGAGAAGAAAGTTGGTCACATCTGTGGGTCCCTCTCTGGACTTTCTTTCCTGCCTGTTGATCTGTGTGCCACCTTTGCCTGAACTGCACACCCTCTCTTACCAGTGTTTTATTTAGTTTTGTTCTTTTTTCTATATAAACTTTGAAACCTAATTGTTTATATTCAAGAAAAATATCCTTTTGGAATTTTGATTGGGTTTGCATTAAATTCATAGATCAATTGGTATGCCTGTTAAGTGTAATTCTCTAACTCTTTTTGTTTTTTGTCTTCGAGACGGGGTTTCTCTGGTAACCCTGACTGTCCTAGAACTCACTCTGTAGACCAGGTTATGGCCTTGAAATCACAGCAATCCACCTGCCTGTAGCGTGATTTCTAATTAGTCTTAATGATAAAAACCCGGAGTCAGATATTAGTGAGTGAAATCTGAAAGATCAGAGAAGCAAAGCAGTCAGTCACTAGTTCTGACCTCTAGGAGATCCTCAAACAGATTGGGGTATCCTGTTTCTACAAGTCCTCAGACTAAATGCTGACTCTAAAAAACCTCAGACTGAATTCTGAGCTCCTGTCTCCCTTATATTCCTCTCTCTGATCAACCTTATCACTTCCCATCTCCACCTCCCTAGTGCTGGGATTAAAAGTGTGAGCCACCACCACCTGACTCTGCTTCTCTTTTACAATGATTCAGTCTCATGTAGTTCAGGGTGGTCTTGAACTCACAGAGATCCATCTGCCTCTGCCTCCCTAGTGCTGGGATTAAAGGTGTGTGCCACCACTGCCTGGCCTCTATGGCTAACTAGTGGCTTAGCTTTGCACTCTGATCTTCAGTCAAGCTTTATCTGTCAAAGCACAAACAAAATATCACCACACCTGCCTGTGCCTCCCAAGTGCTGGGATTAGAGGTTTGCACCACCATCACTCAGCTAATTCTCTAACTCTTAAATAGTGTGGCTCACTATTGCCTGTAAACAGGGGCTGCTTGTTCATTTCCCGGTCACCCAGATCTGAAATAATCACACAGGAACTATATTAATTAAGGCATTGCTTGACCTATTAGCTTAGGCTTTTATTAACTCACTCTTACAACTTAAACTATTTTATTATTTTATATTTTACCATGAGGCTCATGGTTTACCGGCAAGGTTTTGGCACGTCTGTCTCCTTCGGCAGCTACGTGGCATCTTCCTGACTCTGCCTTCTTTCCTCCTCTATCTCTGCTTGGAATTCCCGCCTTGCTCTATTCTGCCCTGTTGTAGGTCAAAGCTTTATTCAGTAACCAGTGGTAACAAAACACATTCACAGTGTACAGAGGGGAATCGCACATCAATTTCCCCTGTGTTTAACATTGATTTATGACTGAACAAGCTCTAAGCTGATGAACGCCATTATTCTTCAGGAGAACATGGTCCCTGGATGCCTTAATGCCCACTGTCCGTCATTGCTGCCCAGGGCTGTGGATGCACCAGCCTTACCCTACCTACAATGCCCAGTGCCTATTAATATCTACCTGCAGGGTTATGGGTTTCTCTGTTCACTGTTACTTGCGGGCATTTCACCTATTTTGTTGCTTCAATTTCCCCCCTTTTCCTGAGATATATCCTTCATTGTTACATTGATAAGCCCTTGGGTGATAAATTATCTGTCAGAAAATATTTTAATTTTACCCTTGCTCTTGAAAGAGTTTAACTACAAACTATTTTTAAATTAATAGTTTTTTCTGCTCAGAACTTTGAAGACAACACACCTTTGTCTTTTGGGGTTTTCTGTGGACCTTCTTCATGTGTCTAATTATCAACCCTTATACTTGGCATCCTGGTTTTATTCTCCGTAGTTACAGTTAAAATTGCTCTTTTCTTTGTTGTTTTGCTACCATAGGATATTTGAATATGGGTTAATCTACTCCTGTTTGGGAGTGCAGTTTTTGTTTTGATAAGAATAAAAATTTTATTTAATTCTAAAAACTTGTCAGCCAAAAAATGTTCCTGATTTTCTTCATGTCTCCCCCTGGACCTTCTATATAAATATACATGTCAGTCCCTTTCGTTTCTGAACCCCTCCTCTCTTAACTTCACTGTAGTCTCTAGTGCATTGTTCCTCTGAACCAAATCCTTAGTGGTTTCCTTGAAGGACGTCTTCCCATTCTATGAATCTCTCTCTAGCCTTTTAAACTGGACTCAAACCCTTCCATTATGTCAAATTTAAGAGTTCTTTTTTTTTTTAATTTCTAAGAGTTGTAATTTGTTTTCCAATTTCTCAGCCCTAATTTTATGGTTTCTTAATGCTTTAAACTGATATGTATGTGTGTATTATATATTTCTTTGGCATCTTCAAGTATTTTAAGTACATTTTTATATAGTCTCTTTGATACTGTTCCACTTGCTCAAGCTTCAGGAATGCGACTCCTTCCCCTTTGTTGTGCCTGCTTGTTCGTGCTCATGACGAATCCTCCGTTTGTG